TCATAGCCTCGATCGTCACTCGACTCCAGCCACAGCCCGACATCGCGCCTCCTGCTGCTCGCGACTCCGGTGAGCACGGCAGCGGCTCCTGCTTCGGTAGACCCAACGACTGTCTCCTCCCTCTTTCTCTTCGATCCGGCGAGGTTGGTTGATGACCAGTCGATCTGGTCCCTTTCCTGCCGTTGCTAGTGCTCCAGCCACATTCGGTTGTCTCTCCGGCACGCATAGTTTCCATTTCCGGTCTAACGAACTTCCGACAATATTTTGTTTGGGGTATAAATTAATTTTTTGTTAATTTTGGTTAATTAATTTAATTTTAGTAATTTTGATTACTTAATTTAATTTTAGTAATTTTGGTAATTAATCTAATTTTAGTGATATCGAGTTCGAGTAATTAAATTAAATTAATCTTAGTGTTGATTTAGTGATTAATTAAAATATATGGTTAATTAAAGATAATTCTAGTACCAAATTAATTTATTAGGAAATTATGATAATAAATAAAATAAAAATTTATAAGTATTATTAATGTTGAGTTTAAGGAGGATGGGAGAAATTTGTTGATTGATTGCCCGATGGAGGGGCTGTGTGGACTTGAAAAATAATCCAATAAGTTGATTGGTGGATAGCCAAATTTATAGAGGAAATGCTGCTGAATCTTCGGCGAGACACTTAACATAGAATTAAATTAGTTATATCCTTAACGGGTAGTAACAACTAAAACTCGAAGTATTATTATCATTGTTATTAGTATTATTATTATTACTAGTAATATTATTATTGTTTTAATATTGTTATTATTATTATAAAATATTCATTAAAAATTTTGTTTAAAGGTTATAAATTTGAATAAGTAAATAAATAAGGAAACGTTATATATATAAATATAAAGTTTAGTTTGATAAGTAAATAAAGCAACGAGTAATCAAAACTAATAAATAAATGTGGGATACTTTTGTTTTTCAGATTAGAACTCTTATTTAGAATTTTCTTATCATTTTAGATGTGTATAAAGTCTCGAAAGGTGAAGACAAAAAGCTGGAAGTGTGCAGTAGTAGAAATAGTCCTTTAAGGGACAATAAAGAACTGTGAGTAATGTTATTAGATAACTCGCATCATTCGCCTGCATCTTTGCATTTATGCATTCACGGCTAAATGTTATCATGCATTATCTTGTTGAATTGCTATATTGTGTTGCACTATTGTTGCGATTTAAAAATTGCTTGATTACTTGTGTTGTGAGTGTTTGTGAATATTGCTGTGCCCTGTTTGTTGGAATTGGGCATAAAGTGGGTGAAAATTTGTTGATTGAAGTTGCCGATGAGGGCTTGTGGACTTGAAAAAATAATACAATAATTGATTGGTGGTAGCCAAATTTAATAGAGGAATGCTTGTCGAATCCTTCGGCGAGACACTTAACATAGAATTAAATTAGTTATATCCTAACGGGTTAAGTAACAACTAAAAACTCGAAGTATTATTATCATTGTTATTAGTATTATTATATAACTTAAGTAATATTATTATTGTTTAATATTGTTATTATTATTATAAAAATATTCATTAAAAATTTTGTTTAAAGGTTTATAAAATTTGAATAGTAATATAAATAAAGGAAACGTTAATATATATAAAATAAAGTTTAGTTTGATAAGTAAATAAGCAACGAGTAATCAAATACTAATAAATAAATGTGATCTTTTGTTTTCCAGATTAGAACTCTTATTTAGAATTTCTTATTCAATTTTAGAATGTGTATAAAGTCTCGAAAGGTGAAGACAAAAAGCTGGAAGTGTGCAGTAGTAGAAATTAGTCCTTTAAGGGACAATAAAAGAACTGTGAGTAATGTTAATTTAGATACTCGGCATCAAATTCGCCTGCATCTTGCATTATGCATTCACGAGGTAAATGTATCATGCATTATCTTTGTTGAATTGCTATATTGTGTTGCACTATTGTTTGCGATTTAAAAAATTGCTTTGATTACTTGTGTTGTGATATTGCTGTGCCTGTTTGTTGTGGAATTGGGATAAAATGGGTCACTATGGTTGTTGGGGACGGTATAACTGAAATATGGATCCTGAATATGATGAAATTATGGAATTATGGAAATTTTTGACTGTCAGGCCGAGTTTGGGAGATCGATGCCCGTGTGCAACCTGATGATATGATATGTATGATATGGAAAACCACAGGTGCTATTCCTGTTGATATGGAAAAGAAAGAGAGAATGGAAAAACAATGAGAGGGCTGGTCCAAGTGAGGATTTTTTTTTTTTGTCAAGTGAGGATTAGACCGGTCAGCCAGGTATGGGGGATTGGCTCCCTGGTGCACACATTATGAGTGAATGGGCCTTGTGGGAGGACGGCTCATCGGCGATTTCGGTGATGCCACTGACTAATTTTCACGTGATGTGATTATGTGAAGATGATAATATTTGTGATTGCTGTTGTAATGTCATATGTGTGTATAACTGCATGATCATATAGCTAGTTGAGTAATTAACTTGATTAAATTTAACATTTGTATGATTATGTGGGGTGAGAGGGTTATTTAACTCTACTCATTGAGTTTGGCGTTCACTCCTGCCTTCTATTTTTTTTTTTAGGTAATAGGAAGAAAGAAAAATCCTATGGACCCAGCCGAGTCGAAATTAAATATAGAAGATTGTTATAATAGGAAGAAAGAAAAATCCTATGGACCCAGTCGAGTCGAAATTAAATATAGAAGATTGTTAATAATTATGTTAACCATGTAAATGTAAAGGACTGTAGATGATGGAGTTCCGCAATTGTATTTCAGATGGATTGTAAAGGAATACTATTTATTATTATATTAATATATGAACTGTACTTTTTGTGGATTAAAGTTGATGGGCTTGAAGCTACATTTAAGACTAGAATATGGGTTTAATTGATATAGGTTTACTACAGGTTTCGGGTCCTTAAGCCCATCTAGGTCCGAGTGCTTGTCTAGCTCGCGAAAATGGGTCATTACAATTATCCAATCTAATTAAAAATTATTATATAATTTTAATCCATCAATGAAATTAAAAGTTTTCTAATTAGGATGAGACTAAGCTAATCAATCAATAAAACACAAATAAAAATTAAAATTTCTATACATATAAAAAATTATGATTTACTATTATATTATAATTTGAATATTGAAATTTCTATAATTACTTTACTTCTATTGAAATATTTGAAATTAAAAAATAAAAAATAAAAGATATTATCTTAACAAATATTAATCTTACAGTCTTAATAAAATATAAAATAAAAGGAGGAAGAAATAAGAAAAAGATACAAAATAGATTATCAATTTAGGATTATAACTTTAGCAACTTATGAAAATTCCATTGCTAAACTATTTGTGTAACCATTTCCCAACTCTTAGCAACGAAAGAAGAATGAAATTCTGTTAATTAATAAAAATCAATTCAGGTTATAACTTTACAAACGGAAAAGTATCCGGTTTCTAACCCGTTTGTAGAAATCAATGAAACAAACAAGATTTGTTAATTAATTAAAATAATCTAATTAAGGAAACTAATATAAGTAATCCAATTAAAATTATTAATATAATTTTAATCAGTCAATAAAATTAAAAATTTTTCTAATTAGAATACGAATTAATTATTTTTTAATGATATTTTTAAATCAACCATAAAATATCAACAAAAAATTAACAAATTTCCTAATTAGAAATAAGACTAAAATATTCCTTAATAATATTTTTAATCAATTATTAAATTAAAAATATGTAAGAGTACTTACCACAAGAAAAGACATGATTGCAAAACTCAATAATTTTCAAATTACAAAACCTTTATGTAATAATTCCTTACTAGTCAAAAGTAATTAAAACACTATATATATATATATATATATATTGTTATGATATAAGAAATCCTAAATTAGAATGATATTAAAGGACAAATTTCCTAATTAGTTAATAAGATTGAAATTTATAATATTAAATTGGATAATTTACAATTAAATTTAGTAGTGGATTCTTATCACACAGAAGGGAAATAACTAAGTTTATGCTGGCAAATTTTGGTTTGGTTCTCGGGAACTAAATTAGGACAACCAGCTCTGTGCCTTCTGCATTTGGAAAGAGACAAGCAAACCCCAACAACCTTCCATAGATTCATGGACAACCTTAGAGCAAGGTGGCTTTAAGTCTCCTCTGGCAAGAAATAAACGATTTCTTTAAATTGTGGATTTTCTTTTTCAACTGATGATTTGAATTTTTAGTTAATTTGAATTTTATTTCAAGTGACAAATCAAGTCTGACTTTAAAATTATTTTACATATATAGACACACACAGAAAAAAGAAGAGAAAAACAACATAAAAAAAAAAAGGAAATTATAGCTTAAAAAATTGAAAAGAGCTTTGTTGTAGATGTTCCAAGTAGCGCATTTGATTCTGGTGCAATAGAAGAGATCTCTTCTTTCCACATGGCATGCAAATGTACCATCTGCTTATTCATCATTTCATTTACCTAACAAAGTCCAAAGTTCATCATGAAATAAAAATCTTGTTAATTAGATATGAAGACAGATATTAAAACTTACCTTCAGAAAGCAATTCCATTCAAGGTATCCCAATTGCGAGACCCAAACACTGCTCCCAAATGCATATCCGTGAAAACAGATTTTCCATCCCAAATCAACATTTTCATCAGAGTTGCATCTTCTTCGCCCTGATGGTGTCGTGACTTGGTTGCCTTTCACCAGAATTGCAAGCCTTTTTGCAGATGGAAATCCACAACAGTCTTGTGTTCCCTTCATACGCAGCTATTATCAAATGTGTTGAACTGAAGGGCACCGTAGGTATGGGGTCCTTCAAGTTTGATTATGCTGAAAACCAGAAAATACTACGAGGGATTGTCATAAGTTGCCAAATTGGATCGTTGGAATCCTTCCAGTTAAGATTAGTTTGAAGAGAGGTCTAAAGATGTCCAGATTGGTCAAATTTCCCTATTGATGGTTCAATATTGCTGTGAGCAAATGATTGTGAGACAATGTTGAGCCTGCTTAAGAGTGCTTTTAAGCCTTCCAATGACTCGGGAATTTTCCCCGGGAATTTTCCCTGTGAAGTTATTACCTGACAAATTAATGGTTGTTAAAAGAGTTTGGATTTTCACCAACTCAATTTCCAGTCCTTTCCATGTCAACCTCACAGAATAATCATAAGAGGTGTAGTGCCATGATCCCATGTATGTCATATTCTGATCAACATTGATCATCGCATCGAAATTATTGAAATAATATGAAAGCAAAGGTCCACTGAAATTGTTGTTGGAGAGGTCAAAAATCCGTAGCTTGGGAAACGGATAGTTGGCAATGGAGTGGCTTTTCACCAAACCATGGAGTCTATTGGGAATCGTAGCTGTAGAATCTGCAACCTTTTGAAGGTTTGTAGAAAAGAAAAGGGATGTGTCCTCATTGTTGCCCATATCTAAAATTTCCAAATCTTTACAATTGGAAATGGATGTTGGGATTTTCCCTTGCAGTTGGTTGCCATTGAAATTCAAATATCTCACGTTACTGCCTTTTGAAAATACTTGAGGAATTTCCAAATCTTTACAATTGGAAATGGACGTTGGGATTTTCCCTTGCAGTTGGTTGCCATTGAAATTCAAATATCTCACGTTACTGCCTTCTGAAAATACTTGAGGGAGAACTCCATTGAAATTGTTCATACCCAGATGTAACACTGAAAGGCTACTGCTGAAGTCTCCCAAACATTGTGGAATGGGACCACTAAAATTGTTACTCGACAGGTCAAGGATTTGGAGTGATTTTGACTCACAAACTGCAGAAGGAATTTCTCCTGTCAATTTCTCATTTGATGAAAGAATGAGAACCATCAAGTCCACCTCATTGAAAACTGAGCTTGGAATTGTGCCAGACAACTTGTTATGGCTCAGATCAACATATTCTAATGTATTATTATATTTGAATTGACATACTTGACCAGAGAGCAAGTTATTAGACAAACTCAAGTACCATAGGCTAGAGAGCCTGCAAATATCTGAAGGAATTGGACCACTAAAATTATTGTATGAAAGTGACAAAAGTAGGAGTTGGTTACATTTTCCAATGAAAGATGGAATTGGACCATTGATATTGTTGTTTTTCATATACAAAATGAAGAGTTGGCTAAGGTTTGCAAATGAGGGAGGAATTGGGCCACTAAAATTATTGTATGAAAGGAACAAATATTGGAGTTGGTTAAAGTTTCCAATGAAAGATGGAATTGGACCATTGATATTGTTGTTTGCCATAAGTAAATGGGAGAGCTGGCTAAGGTTTGCAAATGAGAAATGAGGGAGAATTGGCCACTAAAATTATTGAGTGAAAGGGACAAATATTGGAGTTGGTTTAAAGTTTCCAATGAAAGATGAATTGGACCATTGATATTTGTTCCTCCTCATATTATAAATAGATGAGCTGGCTAAGGTTTGCAAAATGAGCGGGCCACTAAAATTATTGTTTGAAAGGTCCAAGCGACAGAGTTTTTCAAGTTTTCCAATTGAGGATGGAATTGGGCCACTGAAATTATTGTCTCTAAGTTCCAATACAATGAGTTTGGATAAATTACCAAACACTTCAAGATTAGACCCAATAAAATTGCAACTATTGAGTCTCAATATTTGCAACAACTTCAGATTCTTGAAGAATTCATTTTCTAAATAAATCGGAATTTCAGTCTGAGAAACTGACAAGTGGCTGAGTGAAAGACTCCAATTTGACGTTGGAATACAGCCATTGAGGCCTTCATTGTACGCTAAGTTCCATTGTTACGCTAAATCTAAGACTTCGAGATGTGGAAGCTGAATTATAAACTATCTTGGGAAATCTCCCTCTCAACCCACAGATGAGTCTGAGGGATGACAAAGAAGTAGATTAATTGATAAAAGGAATTAGAAGAAAACCAAGGACATAGGTCTGCACCGCTCAGGTTCCAAATTCTTTTCAAACTTGGTTAAGTTTTCGATATAAGCTTGTCCATAAACTACCAGTTGTTTCTAATGTCAGACGAAAAGTTCCAGGAAAGATCAAGAGAAAACCAAATTGGATAGCTGACCGATTTCTAATGGAATTTGGCCATCAGTTGAATTTATTTAATCAAGGGTGTGTCAAGCTCAAAACAAACAACAAATGGCCAATTTGAGATGGAATTATAGAGCCTTTGAAATTATTATAAGAGAGATCTAGTTTTTGAAGATGATGAAGAGCGAAAAGAGAATTATTAGAATGGAAGTTACCGTAAAGCATACTGCTAGAAAGGTTAAGCCCAATCACATAGCCAGTATTAAAGTCACAGTTGACACCATCCCAAAAGAAGCAACAATCCGTGCCCTCTTTCCATGAATCTGTCTTGGGATAAGAATTAATAGAAGGATCATAACTCCTAATGGAGAAGGAGTTTTTGAATTGGAGCAAGGCATTGCTTTGATCAAGCTGGCAAACTACATTTGTGCTGGCAAACTAACATTTGAGAAAGGGGGAATTTTGTAATATTTTGAAGAAAGAGATTGAGAATGGAAAGTGGAAAATAGAAGGAGGCACGAAGAAAATTGAAAATGCCACAGTAAGCAACAAGCAACCAAAACCCATGTTTTGTGTTTGCCAAATTTAATTATGATCAATTTCAGCATATATCACTCCCTATTTATAGACCACATGATTCCCTTTTTGTTTGAATCATGATAATGTTCTGTCTCCTTTTTTTTATATATAATTATTTTAAAACATCCGCTCTTTAATTTCTATCACTTAGTGCAAGAGCCACTGTAATTCTATTCTATTTTTATTGTTATTATAAATTACACTATACTTTGTTTCATAATTTTTTTTAATAGTTAGAATAATTTACTCTTATTATTTTTAACAAAAGTGGATTATAAATTTTATCTTTTAGAAATTTCTTTAGAAAATTAACGGTTGGTTTCCTGTTTCTGCATTATCGATCTTTATTCTCAAAAGTTTTTCATTTTTTTTTGAAAAATCCTCAAACGTTCTTCAAAAAAAAAAAAAAAAAAGGAGAATTTTAGAATAAAAAAAAAAAAAAAAGAGAATTCAGAATAATAAGCTAGACTGATATTTTTTTGTATTTTTGAACACCTCATAATTAAAACCAAAATAAAATAAAAGTACATCTAAGAAGGCAAGAACTTTTCAAGTCTTGCATGCATGCACCATATGGAAAAATTTTGTCTAGATCCAGTGCATGACCTCATTTGTAGACCAAGCAAATGAAATTAGGGAATTTTTTAAAAATTGTTTCGACGTCTTTTTTTACCAAATGTATGAACAGAAATAAAAAAATATTAAATTTTATTAGTTTAGTTTATAGGTGGAGATATAAACAGAGTATAAATAAGTTTTTCTCTATGCCATGTAGCACGTACAAATATTATTAGAGTATGGATCCTTATCTTCAGGCAAAGGATGAAATTTATTTGCCTATCACTTATAACCCTCTAATTAAAAAAGTCAATCAACAAGTGAATAGTTAAGCCTGAGAATGACAAGATTGAAGTGTTGTGTCAAATTCAGTCAAATTCAGTCACTATCACGAATATCCGAAGACTTATGCAAGTCTTTCTTTGCCTCTAAATTCTTTGATAAATTAACCATTATGCTACGTTTTCGTTACGGTCATGCAAATGTAATATTCATTGATCATATTTCCTCCAAACCATAATTTTTTAATGAATATGATATTTAAAATCTACAAACTAAGAAATTCGTAGCTAAACTATGTCTGGATGTCAGTTGTGAAGTGGATGGAAAAAGAAAAACAAAAGGAGAGAAAAATGTTGGTTTTGACAATAGTTACAATCGAATTGATAATTACATTAAGAAAAGCGATGATTTAATTACTATAACTGTCTAATAATAATTCTTTTTTTAGTTTAATGGTAAAGTGACATCGTGTATATATAATAAGGTAAAACGATGATTTTGAAGGTGAGTTCAAATTTCTTTTAACATTATATATCTTAAATATTATTATGTGAGTTTAAGTTTAATCTTAAATTAAATTTCATGAACAAAATAAATATAAATTAAAAAATAAGTGCACACATTATAAGTAAAGAAAAAAAAATATATTTGGTCATCATTCTCTTATAGTTATCTCAATAATTATTATATAAGGATATGTCAGGAAAATAATTCAATGGACAAAAGTATTCTGATTTAATTTATTATTTATTAAATTATTAATTAAATTATTAAGTTTTTGTTATTTGTTAAGCTATTTATATTTATTAGTATTAGTACTCTATTGAGAATTATGTTGATAAGGATTTCATATGCTTATTACATGCAAAGGTTTATTTTGCAAATCACTATAATCCTCTGAATAAAAGACAATCAGATCTTGTTCTAGAGATTGTGTTTGAGTTGTGTGACACCAGTGAACATGTTACTATTGATTAGGTTTGGAGATAGGTAAATAAAGCTTCTCATGCTTTAGCAATATTATCATGTTTCTATACTGGTTTTCATATGTAATTTGAGATTTCTTCTCACGAGATGCTCTTTTTATGTTGAATCTCTTTTTATTTCTGGTTCTATTCATTAATGAAGTTTCCTCTTCTTCTTTAAAAAAAAAAAAAAAGACAATCAACAAGCAAATTGTTAGAATTGAGAAGGACGAAATTGAATCATTGTGTCAAAATCAGTCGTTCTTTGAAGACTTGTGCAAGTCTTTATTTGCCCCACAATTCTTTAATAAGTTAAACATTATGCTATGTTTTCATTCCAGCCAAGCAATTTTAATCTTAAAGTCCAGCCAATGACTTATACAAGTCTTCCTGCCTCATTATTCAAACCAAATTTCCTTCAACCATCATTAAGGTCTATTAATCGAAAAATCGAAAATTCATAGATAGCGTGACGCAATAGATTTAGACTAGGATTTTTTTCGGTAAATTTAAATTATTTTAGTAGTTATTAGTTATTTTTAATTGTTGTTAGCTTGTTTTAGTAGCTGTTAAATGTTAGTTTGTTAGCATTATTTTAACTAAAGTAGCAATTGAAAGCAAAAGTGCTTCGGATAATAAAATAACTGTTTGATTTAGACAATTTAAATTTAAATAATAAAAAGGAGCATTGAAATATTTACTAATAGTTATAGATTAAACTTAAACTCATTACAAAAAAGAAAAAAAAAAAGATGACTTCACTGAACCTAAATTTTCAAAATTTAAGGGAGTAAAAATTGAAAAGTTCACTGTTTTATAAATAAAATTAAAAATTTTTTATATTTTACGTATCAATATTTTTAATTTTTAATATTTCTTGAATTCAAATGGATATATAAATAAATATTTTAAAAAATTAAAAAAATATTAAAAAATTCATTTTCTAACTAAAATGGAATTTTAGTCCGAGAAAGGAAAAACCAAGGACAGGTCTACCTGGCGGAAGTCCAATTCTTGGAACTTGGTATGGGTTTGTGTATGGTTAAGTTTTGGGCTACATTTGCTAAGCCTTTGAAGTTAGATTGAAGTTGCTAAGCCTTTGAAGTTAGATTGAAGTTAGATTGGATAAATCAATAATATTTTATATTCTACAATTTCAAATAATAACTAATTATGTGTCTACGCATTACACCCAATGTATAATTTTAGTTTTATTTTTATTGTGTAAAATTTGCTTTTAATGAATAGATAAATCAATAATAAATACTAAGGAATTAAAAAAAAAAAAAAAAACCTGCTACTCATAACTAATAAGGAATGAAAATAATAGTGAAAAATAATGAGAAATTGTTAATTTTTTCCATAATTATTTTCCACTCTTATGTTTGGATATAATGAAATAAAAAAAATAAATTTATTTGAAAAAGTAAAATTCTAGAAGAACCACTCCCTTGGTGGGTGTTGCAATAGCTCTGTTTATGATATGTCCATCTATTATTTTAATATATTGATAAATTAATAAATTAATTGATTTATGAATTAACCATACTATAAATTTCAGAGTAAGAAAAATCATACTATAAATTAATCAGATATATAATTAGCAGAAATTTTTACAAATTTTCATGAAATACAAATAATTCAATAATAAATTATATTATTCAATCCCCTTCTTCCTCTCACTCGGCACAATTATAGATTTATAATATTCATGTTTTTTTTTTTAAATTTTTTGTTAAAAAAGAAATATATTTAAGCCATCTCTTTGTTCGTTTGCAATCAAGGCATAATGTCTAATTTATTTAAATTGCTTCTTCGACAAGTTGATTGCAGCGAGAATCCATGAA